TTTTAATCTCCAATACAAATCAAAGCGTAAAAGTAATGAAAGGAATGAGTTTTCTAAAGAGAATAATCTAAAAACAAGGTCTGGAATGTGAATAATGATGTCTAGGTCGAAATTCTGAACTTAAAATCCCGACCTCGAAAATCGCGCCGCGTAAGTCGCGAGTCGCGACATAAGTCGCGAGTCGCGACTCACACTTTCCTTCAGGTCGCGAGTCGCGACATCTCGCGAGTCGCGCGTCTTCAAATATATTTATATTCTGGGGGAAACTCGCGACCTGACTCGCGAGTCGCGACTTGTCTCGCGATTCGCGACAAAGACTCGCGAGTCGCGACTCGTCTCGCGGAACTAGTCTTTCGGCTCTGTTGGACTCGCGAGTCGCGACATTCTCGCGAGTCGCGACCATCTCGCGAGTCGCCACACTGACTCGCGAGTCGCGAATTGTTCTGGGCAGCTTTTCGGTCCGTTTTTTCCGGTTCTTCCTTCAGTATTCTGAGCAAGTTAATGGGTCTTCTGGATATCCGGGTCTCAGCTCAAGTAGTCCCGTCCTCGATCAACACAACCTACCTCCTGAAAACACAAATACGAAGAAAACACGAACAAAAACACAACAAAAAGACACACAAAACGAACTAAAGAGAGAAACGGAAAAATCACAGAATTGGACCAAATAAACTACGGAAATCCTATAAGTGGGGAAAAATAAAGAGAAAATAAAGCGAAAATAAAGACACAAAAATGGGACAAACACGCACAACTCCGGCAAACAAGTCTACACTACCGATTTGAGAGATGTTCTCAACAATCGGAATTGCCCTATAACCTTCAATATGGAGGACGCGAATCATTTCGCTCATCCTCATTCCGACGCCCTGGTCATTACCGTTCCAATATGCGGTATTCCTGTTCATCGTGTCATGGTGGACACGGGGGCCTATTCAAGTATCTTGATGTTGAAAGCTTTTGACAAGATGGGTCTTGACCCTGCCGAAATCTGACCTTGCAACGATCAAATCCAAGGGTTTAATGGCAGTATTTCAAAGCCCATCGGAGAAATCACTTTACCTGTCAGATTTGGTACCTCGGAGAATGTCACCAAACTCGTCATGAAAACTTTTAATGTTATGGATATTAATAATGAGTACAACGCCATCATCGGCAGAACGGCGCTGTACAAACTTCGAGCTGCAGTTTCTATCTTTCACTATGCATTAAAGTTCCCGACAACCCGGGGAGAAGGAACCCACTTCGGAGATCAAAGAGAAGCTAGACAACTTGTCACATTTATCCCATCCAATGGAGTTCATTCAACTTCGATGGGCAATGATGAAGCCTCCCCCCAGCAGCACTCTTCGGACAATGCGGTGACCAAAGACCCAAGCAACCGCGTTGGCGATCCTTCCACTTCGGATCCTTTAACCGAAGACCGAGGTCGTCGACCTGGAATTGATCTATATTGATGAACCGGTATTCCTTAAGTCGTTGCGCATCGGAAGTCATCTCCAGGAACCACTTCGGTCAGAACTTATCTCGTTCCTCAAACAGAATTCTGATGTTTTTGCCTGGAAGCACGAGGATATGAAGGGCATCGACCCCGGTGTCGCTAGCCACAAACTAAACCTCGATCGAACAGTCCGGCCTGTTGTGCAAAAGAGAAGGAAATTGGGGCCAGATCGTCAGAAGGCATTGGAAGAAGAAGTCAAAAAACTCATCGACAATAAATTCATCAAGGAAGCCAAATACCCGACGTGGGTCTCAAATCCTGTT